CCCCTCTTTTCCCCCCCCTCCCACCCCTCCCCCGCCGGCATGCAGTGCCCCCACCCCCATGTGCACAATGGCTCAGGCACCTGCCCTGCCCCGCCCCCCGTGGCACCTGCAGCCTCAAATTTTGCACGGGGCGTCCCTCCTGCGTGTAACCTCCACTCCACCCGGGGTCACTCACCACCTGCCACCATCCTCCCATCCAGAAACCAAAACCAAAGCCTTTCTGCTCAGCTCATTGGGCTTATCTGAGCAGAAGAAATCCGTGTGCCTGCTGCATCGCAGGTAGGAGGGGCCATGTTAAACCCTCAACGTGTTACACTGCTGTAAAGTCAGCCGGCTGCTGTTCATACTGTGAGTGGGGCTCTTCTGGGTCTGGTTCCAGCCATTGGAGTTAGATGTGAGCTCTGAGCTTTTGCTTGCCAAGATTGGGCAGGTGGATCCCTGAGCCAACCTTGCAAAGAGAAATCTTCTTGCTACTGGGCGCATGACTGTGTACTGTTCTCCTGAGGGCTGGCTGCTCGGTCCTCTGGGGAGGAAAGTCCTGCTGCTCTCAGAGGGTCAGGTGTGGGCCAGGAGTCATCAGCCCTCAGCGTCTGTGATTCTGGGGGTCCCCTGGCTCAGGGTCCCTTCCTTTCCTAAATTTCGTTTCTCTCATTTCCCGAGCAATGCTGGATAAGTCCAGCTAGTTTAAATATAAATGTAAGGTACTTTTTAACTTTTATATGATACATAACTTGTTTTGTAGAAATAAAAATAAGTATAGACCGTGGTTAATCAAATAGAACAGGCTTCTGTGAAATTTTCAGATACTTTGTAAGTTTGAGATTTTGAATAAACATATAATATTCATGCAATTGCAAAAATTGACATTTGATATAAAATTGAATATGCATTTTATGATTTTATTTGGGAATGAATAAAAAAATATTAACAAAATATCCCCCTCCTTTCCCCCAGAGCCAGGAACTCCCATACCCCCGTTCTAACTCAATCCCCCTCTACTCCACCAGAGTCCTCCCCTACTCTAATCCAATGCCTCCCCCCTTTCCCAGAGCCAGGCACTCCAAGGCTCCTACACCCCTCTCCCCAACCTGATACCTGGGTCCCGGAGCCATCGTGTCGCCACTGCCACACACTTCTTCCTCAGGTGCTGGGGAGGTGTGAGCACAGCGGCCATCTGTGAGCAGGCGCTTGATGCCTGTGCAGAGTGGCTGGCCAGCCATGAGTATGTGCTGGGTGCCATGTGCCAAGCAGCACAGTGGCCATGAGCAGTTGCTGGGGGGGCCCGGACAGCAATGAGTATGTGCTGGGTACCATGCGTAAAGCAGCTGGCTGGCCGGCTGTGATCTGCACTTGGCCACGTGCTCCGAGTGGCCAGTGGGCCGCATTTTATTCTTTTAGAAAAATGTACTGGCAGGCCACAAAAAATTTAGATCAGGCCGCATGTGGACCTCCAAATGCCAGTTCGACATGCCTGGTTTAGATTACTTCAGTTATTAGTTTAGTATTTTCTCTGGAGACTGGACCTTGACTATTTGACCAATAAATTTTGGATCTTAACCAATTATTTGATATTGAGGAAGGAAAAAAACTAAGAAAACTGATAGAGAATGTGAAGTAAAACATAAGGTTTCAAATCTACTGTGTTGCTAGTTATGATTTTGGCAGTGAGCTACACACTGATGCTAGTTGGACTACAATTGTCATTCTGTAAGAAAATGGAATCTAACCACAAGAAAAGGAACTGCTAAATATCTGAAATCATGGGGGGGTTTTTGAGTTTCATAGTTCAGCCTACTGAGTAGTAGAGCTACTTATCATTTCTGCAAATAAAGTATTTAGTTACTGTGAAATGACGGGTCTTTCTTAATGCTAATAGCAAATGTCAAACAAAACAAATTGCCTAGTTTTGTAAAAATGTAGGAAGACTGGAGATCTAATTGGATTTAATTCCCAGGCAGTTCTTGAACAGAATAAAAGGAACTGTGCTATGCAATCTTATTGTATTTTAATTATGAAGGTTTCTGAGAGAGCTGGATATTATTTTTTTCCAGTTCCTCAAGTGATTGTAATCTGTTCTCATTTTAATGCTGTATAAAGTATATAAGAAATTATAACTTTTTATTTATGGTAAAATATTAACTAAAAAGGCCAGCCTGGAATAGTTGCAACAATAAAACACTTTAAAATTACTTGGTTCTTTCACTGAAGTAGGGCAGTGTGTTTTAATTGCTAAAACAAATATACATGCACCCCTGCCCAATGTAGCAATTTAGGTAATGTTTCTAAACTCTGCGAAGGAGGTATTTGTAGAGTTAAAATTGTATAAAAAGCAAGGCTGTGGGAATACTGAAACTTTGAGCTCTTCCTTATATGCCATTAACTACAGATTAGAAATGTTTAAGATGAGTATATGACCCTCCTACTAGTTTAGTTTAAGTGGCTAAACTAGTAGTCCCTGAATTTTTCATGTTGCAGCCCTCTCTACAGTAAGGATGTTAAGGACTAGTCGATTATTCGATAAGCAAATGTTTATCAGATAATCAAGTCGACTAGTCGATTCCTCCCCTCCCCTCGCTGTCTCTATCAGAGCAGTGGTCCCCAACCTTTAGAGGCTCCCGGGCGCCCGGGAGGTGGGGCCACTCACGCGCTGAGCGCCTGGGGGCGGGGCCGCACGTCCGGGGGCACGCCAGGGGACTGGGATGCCCTTGCACCTGGCGCCGGCGTGTGCCCTAGGGCCGGGGCTGGGGCTGCCCGAGCGCCTTGTGCCGTGGGCCCAGG